CTAAAAAGTGTACTTAAGTACAGTAACGAAGTATTTGTACTTTTTACTTGAAAGCTCTGGAATTTAGCACTTTTTAAAATACATTTATCTCACTTATAAAAATGTTGAGAGAGGGAGTGATTAAAAAAACAAAACATTGATGAATAAAAGGCTAATAAAAAATGTTTAAATTGTTATCGGAAGATCAACCTAAACTAAAAGATCCATCCATCCATTTTCTCCCGCTTAGGCCTCGTTAGGGTCACGGAGCAGCTGGTGTCTCTGTGCTAGAGGCGGGGTCCATCCTGGACAGGTCATCAATCTGTGCAGGGCAACACAGAGACACACAGGCACGCAAACACACACCTAAGGAGGATTTAGAGAAGCCAATTAAGCTAACAGTCATGTTTTTAGACTGTGGGAGGAAGCCGGAGTATCCGGAGAGACCCCAAGCATGCTCAGGGAGAACATGCAGACCCCATGTAGAAAGACCCCGGGCCAGGAATGGAACCCGGAACCTTAAAGCAGCATTGCTACCCACTTCACCACCATGTTGCCCTAAATTAAAAGAAAAAAGAGAAATAGAATTTTTATATCAGATCCGGTTTTAAAAATCTTTTCTAAAAACATTAATAATGTTGCACTGGAAAATGTGCATCGTTTCTAAATCACAAATTACACAGAATTTAGTGATTATGACTGATTTTAACCTCTGTCTGTTACTACCTTCATCAGTCATTTACAGATCTTACTGTAGATCTAGAGTTTCTAGAAGAAGAAAAAAAAAAGAAATAAAGACGTTTTAGATTGCGTTGTAGAACTCATTTATAAATATGATGGATATGTTAAAGCATATTCCAATGCTTGAAAAAATGTAATGTATCAAATTGTTGGCAAAAAGAAAAGTGTAGAATAAAAGGCTTTGGAGGGAAAATTGGGTCCAAATTGGATTAATGAATTAGACCTTTATTAATTAAAGCTCCATGATTTTACATAACCAGAAAGACAGGTATTTTATGACAGGTATTATGTATTTTAAATACATATAAATTACAGAATTAC